CATCGGTTGGCCACCGCAAGTCATTGTATAGGCCTCATACGCATCCAACCTACGATTCTAAATGGGGGTCGAATGCGGGGCGCATCCCTCAGACGAGATTGATAAACGCCAAAAACTTAATCCTTTTTTAATCAATCTCTAAAGAGTAAAGGATAAAGTCTTTGGGCATTAATTAATCCCGTATCAAGGATGCGCCCCGCATTCGACTTTCATTCAAAATCGGCAAACTCTCAAATGGGATTGATCAACGCCCAAGGACTTTGTCTTTTATCCTTTATGAATCTTCAAAACAGCCACTTCCTAGAAATCACCTACTTTTCTTTTTCAAACGTGGGACGATTGTCATTTTGATCGAGCAGCTCCACATTGACACGAGTTCGGGCGCATTTTGTTAAGTGAGATGAGCCCTTGAATAATCGATGATAAGATCCGCACTAGGGCTTTGGCCTCACTAGAACTCACATGAATTTCGGCGACAAGTTCTAGATTCGTGAACAATTCCCGATCCATAATCCGGTTATCGCGAATGAACACTTCACCAGTTTTTTGACGAATTTCAAAAGTCCCATCAGGGTTGACCATATCAATCATCGTCCACTGAAAGAAATTGACTTCTTGGTAAGACTTTTTCGATAGAAAAAGGGGGAACTCACTTTTTTCCTATTCAGCACGTTCAAAATGGTAACCAACGTCCCAGCTTCACTATTTTCGGGCATTGATACACTTATTTCACATTTCTCAAAACGTGTTACGGTACCATTGTTGTGAATGTCCACGGTGGTGGTGTTCGTTGGGAGCTTCGAACGAGATTTCGTGAACGTCTCAGAAATGTGAGCTTCTGGTAAAAGGCCGATATCTTCAGATAGCTCAGATAAGGACTGCTTCGTTGATTCAAAAGCCTCGACTTGTTCTCGGGAGGACTGCTGTGTTGGTTCATTAGTGTCATTTTCCGTTTCAATAGGAAGCGGCAGAGGCAACGGCAGCGACTTCTGAAAAACTCGATTATAACAGAAGTAAGAACTGAGCCATGGAAGGGTTTGCTGACTATGAATCTTGAAGTCTGAATCGAAAACGTAAATATCTAATTTGTAGGGTTATACACTCAGAGGAGCTTTTGAAAATCGCTGAATCTAGTC